TCAAGTTCAGTGTATAACTGAATCAAGACTGATCTATAAGGTGATGTGAATCTCATTTATGTCCTTTCTTACTGAGGTATTTTCCTCCATCTTATGTCCTGTCTCTCTACTTGTAAAATGAAAAAAATAATTTCTGTCCATGCCAATTTTCTGTGATAAGAATGAGGGAGTGAAGTTAAGTAAAAGAGCAATATCTCCAGGGAGGAGTGCAACAGGGATGGAGGAGGAAACATTGAAGACTGAATGGATTCTCCGATCTCTCCTGTATTTCAGGTCCCAAGATCTCCATCCAGTGAAGAGGTAATGTTTCTTTCTGTCCAAGTGAAAGGAGCAACCCACGAATTCAGAAGGCAGACCACAGTGCTGGTTAAAAACCAAGAGAGCCTGGTCTTTGTCCAGACAGACAAACCTATCTACAAACCAGGACAGACAGGTACAAACAGGCCAAAGTCAGAACAACTTCAAAAAGGAAAGATCCTCCCCCACGTATTCCCCAATCAAAAGCCCTATAATACTGGTTTCTTAATGGTTTGTCTTACCAGCCTATAGGCCTGGTTTAAGATTTCTAGTGATAAAAAATATTTCTGTTTCAGTGAAGTTTCGTGTTGTCTCATTGGATGAAAATTTTCACCCCCTGAATGAGTTGGTGAGTCTCCTAATATCTATACAGAATCATTATTATCTGTGTAACCTGGCTGGGAGTCTGTTTTGGGTGCTGGGGGAGAATGAGGGAGTTGAGAAATCTGGTATTGAGGACAGTAATTTTTGGCATTAGAATAGTGTAAGATCTTCATTTTAAACAGTATCCCTGGTCAAGAGAGTAGTTAAGTTTTTTTGTCTTGGTACTGAACTTAGGAAATGGTCACCCAATTAAACTTAGAAAGTTCTCAATTAATCTCAAATATATACAGATATGAAATATATATATATTTATATATATATATCAACTGTATACACATATATACTTTTGTATCTATTCCTTATTAGAAAGTAAGCTCCTTGAAAGCAGATATATTGTTCTTTTGTGCATTGCAATATTCCCAGAACCTATAATGACACACAGCACATGGTAGGCACTTAATAAATATTACTTTTTAATAATGAATAAACATTGATAGCAGAGGAGCTATTGTCATTCTTCTTTACTCTTAGAACTACCTAAGAATTCTGTGATTCATCTTAATATTTGGATCTGAACATAGTTACTTATAGTTCTGTTGGTATTTTACTTCTCAGCCTATAAAATTGCAAAGCAAAAGAGTGTACTTCCTGGGATGCCGTACACATTTAAGTAATATTAGTAAATCCCATTTCTAATGAATGGTAAGTGCATCTATGTAGTTGTTGCTGACAGCCTATTACGTTCTTATCATTATTTATTAATTGCTTTTAAATGATTAGTTAAAAGTTCTGTAAAAGTTAACCTGTAATTATTTTATGTGTTTTACTACAGGTAAAGTTATTCTAGATAAAACTGCCTTGCTTATAAATCAGAAGTGAGAATACTTGTGAACAATTCTAAACTCCTTTATTTCTCTTTTCTCTTTCAGATTCCACTAGTATCCATTGAGGTAAGTGAAACGAAGCATTCCATAATTACATGTAAAGTAATAAATTTAGGGAAAATGTTCTTATTTGAGAGATTCTTACAATATCCCAGAAACTTGTCATTAAGGGAGAAGCCTTCAAACTCATGTAACACAGATGGTTCTAACTCATCTCCCCTCCCCATTCCTTATGACCATCCCATTTTCCTCTTTGTGGATAACATAGAGTTTCTATAGATTCCCTAAATTGTCTCTAATGCTCTAAGCTCTTTTGTAATTTTCAATTAATGTATCTATAGGACCCCAAAGGAAATCGCATCGCACAATGGCAGAAGGTCAAGTTAGAGAGTGGCCTCAAGCAATTGGCCTTTCCCCTCTCATCAGAGCCATTTCTGGGCTCCTATAAGGTGCTGGTACAGGAAGAATCAGGTGAAACGGCAGAGCACCCCTTCACCGTGGAGGAATTTGGTATGAATTATGGAAAATCATGGAATATTTTTCTTCATATTTAAACTTCTAGGGCCTAGAATTTGAGCTTATTTTGAATCCTTTCACTTTTCCTGGGTGAGACTGGGGTTGGAGTAGAACCAACTATATACCTTACTCCCATTAAGACAATTAATGCTTTGTGAATAGGACTTGATATAGCTTAGTTATATTTATAGCAATTTTTTCATCTCCAAGAAATAGAAAACATCCTTGTTTTAGTAAGGTTACAGGGGTCTGTGATGGTTCTTCGAACTGTCTCCATTTGAGCAAGGTAGATGTATTGGAGAAGAGAGCTGCCTCTTCGGGAGCCTAAAATATTATTAGGGAAGTGTTACAAAGAACCTGAAAGTACTAACTCCCCAGAAGTTGAAAACTTATCACAAACTTCCTTTATCTCCTATCAACAGTGCTTCCCAAGTTTGAAGTGAAAGTAACAGTGCCAAAGATAATCACTATCTCGGACGAAGAGGTGAAAGTGTCAGTGTGTGGCCTGTGAGTGTTTTGGGGGTTTTTTAATCTTTTTGGGAGAAATTATTTTTTAAAGACTCAACATTTGGGATATTTTGGCTAGTGTTTTTAGGAGCAGTGACAGCACAAATACTTGAAATACATGAGAGCAGCTCACCTCTAGAACTTTCTTTTCCTGTTGCCTTCTTATTTTCCCTTCTTATTTTCTTTCACAATCTTAGCAGCATTATTATAACTATCATGGCACAGGCAATTGTCCTTACAGAGACTAGGCTACAAAAGATAGTTTTTTAGATGAAAATTAAAAATTAAGAGAAAAGGGCATGATAAAAGAAGACTATAGTAAGTTTCAGCATGTTGCACTGGAGAATTCTAGAAGAGAAGGGTCATTACTTGACTGTGCTCAATAATGTTTGAGCCTGCAAATGGAAAGTGCAGATTAGAGGGAATAGACGGGAAAAAATATACGGTAGCTAAAAGAGGAAATATAAATAGGTCGGAAATGTGGATTTTCAATGTCTACTTTGATTCATTTGGCGATGTTCTTATGACAGATACACGTATGGAAAGCCAGTCCCAGGACATGTGACCATGAGCATGTGCAGAAAGTATTATAATCCTTCTAACTGTTTTGGTGGAGAGTCACAAGCTCTCTGTGAGAAATTAAGTCAGAAGGTAGGTGGAACACTCTTCTAGGGACTAATGACGAAGGCATTGTTAATAAGCAGTGAGTCACAACATGGTGCTAACTCAGGAAGATAGCACCCGATGAGAGAATTCTATGCTAGGTATAATAGTTGTTTTAAAATAAGTGAGTTAGCACAATAGGAATTATGTATTTCTTATAATTGTCTATTATGGATGATCTTGGTGCAGCAAACACACAGAATGATGGAAGCTGAGCCAACTTCAATAACTGGTATCCAAAGCCATCTTTGACATCCATTTGTATGAAGGAAAGAGGGGGGGAAAGCATACCTTTTAACCACCTTTTCTGGGAAGAATGTCAGTTTCATTCTTTCTATGAACAAGAACTTGTCACATGGCCCCACCTAGATACCACTGAGGTAGAAAACACAGTTCCCAGATAGGCGGCGACTTTCTAGCCATAGCTGTACACTATGGAAGGGGAGCCAGACTTTGGTGAAGGGTTAGCCGCCTATTACAATGAGATGTATCCCAAAAATTTTAGGGCATTTCTGTCTCATTCACGCTAAGAAATCTCAAATACTAAGGAATACACCTGTCAATTATAAACCAGATACTGTTGTAAAATGTAATAATAACCAATCTCTAAAGGTATTGTATTCTTATAGGAAATACCTAAATTATGTTCCCTGCCCCCCAAAAATCCCACCAGATTAACTGACCCCTGGTCTGTCTAGTATTATGTTCTTGTATTTTATTCTATCCCCTCCTAGCTAAACAGCCAGGGTTGCGTCTCTCAGCAAGTAAAAACCAAGGTCTTCCAGATGAAGAGAGAAGGTTTGAAAATGGAACTTGAAGTGGAAGCCAAGATCAAAGAAGAAGGAACAGGTTTGTGTACCATGGGGGGATGGGAGAAAAGGAAATGGACATAGATTTATATCCTTTGCCAAAGTATGATTTGAAAGGGGGAAGGTAGGATAAGAAGTTCAGGCAGATCGTCCTTCCAAAAAATGACTTTCTTTTTTCTTCTTCTTTCAGAGGTGGAGTTAACTGGAAGAGGGCTCAGTGAAATAACAAGAACTATCACCCAACTCTCATTTGTGAAAGTGGACCCACACTTCAGACAAGGGGTCCCCTTCTTTGGACAGGTGGAGTATTTTTCAGTTCACAAACCAAACTTTGCATCATCATCTAATAAGCACAGCATATTCTGCTAAAACTATACCTGATTATTGTTACCTGCTGATTAATACAAAATACAATACAAATTAAAACCACATATCTGTTCCTCTGTAAATTTGTAAATGAAATGTATAAAAATCATTCTAAAGCATCCGCAAAATTAGAAAGTTTTTTTTTTTGTCACTTCTGGAACAGCATTGTGTGGTGTCACTCAATCTCCTTCCCACAGTTTACCAGGCAGTCTCATATTTTTTTTTAATTGTTTTATTACTTAAAGTATTACAAAGAGTATTATATGTTTCCTTTTTTTTTCTCCCCTTGACCTTCCCCTGGCCTCCCATACCCCAGTGTCTTGTGTCCATTGGTTATGCTTATATGCATGCATACAAGTCCTTCGGTTGATCTCTTACCCACCCCCACACCCAACCCTCCCCGGCCTTCCCGCTGTAGTTTGACAGTCTGTTCGATGTTGCTCTGCCTCTGTATCTATTTTTGTTCATCAGTTTATAATGGTCTTAATTATCCATAAATGAGTGAGATCATGTGGTATTAAAATATGAGACTGAGACTGACTTCGCAGTCTCATATTTTTATGATATTTTCTCACAAGCATCTCAGAATTCATGGTGGCCACAAACATTATCCTTCCAACACTAATTTCACATGGCAATGAATGGGTAGATGGTTTTAATTTTTATTTTGAAGCTTAAAATATGCTACTATACCTAGTATTTCTTTCATGGATATTATATTTATAATACTTTTTCTATAAATGCAAGTAAAACAGTGTACACAAGGGTAAAATACTGCTATTTAAGGTTCCCAGCTTTTAAAAATATAAATTTTCTCACAGATCTACAGAGAAATATTTTATTGTATAAATATTTTTCTAGTATAAGCAGATGTGCAAATGGACCTTTCTGCGTCCAGGAGTCTGAGATAACAGTTGGGTGTATCTCATGTATAATGACTGTGTGTCATATTCTTAATGGAAATGCTATAAAATTTCAGCTGTGGAGAGTGTGAAAGACAGAGGGACTAGACTCAACAAAGGAGTGAAGGAGTAAATTTTATAATGTTTTGATTATGTTATGACAGCAAACATATTCAGAAACTTTGGTCACATCTAAAATGAAAGTACACTTCATGTTTTTAAATTTCTCAGGTATATTGTACATTTTTGATATTTTAGTCCTGCTAAATAAGTGTTCCATTAGTCATAAGACTCATCAGAAGAGAAAAATCAGAATTTTATCCTTCTCTTTGTTCATGTAGCCGACAGTTCAGTGACAAACTTAGATTTTGTTGATCAGTTACACATACTGATCCAAGTCTGCCCCTGTGCTTCTTGCTACCATAATAAGTAGCTTATACTGGAAAAGAATGAACATCTTCATAATAGGAACTAGACTACTCATCTGCTGAGTCTAATATTAACAGTAATGTGACTTTAAGCCTTTATTAGGATGGTGTGCTTCTTCTCAATTTTACATTTTTACATGGCAAGTGCCTCATAAAATCTGCCTACCTTACAAAAGATTGAAAATTTTGGTTGACAAGCAGATATCATGCATAAAAAAACTAGAGAAGCATACCAGACAATGAATTAATTGCTCACTTGTACACTTATTATACAGAACACAACATCATAAAAAGTTAGTTGTCCGCCACACAATAAGAGGAACTCAATTAAATTTGGCAGTGGGTTAAAATTTTTCAATGCTATATGATTCTTGTGCTCTGTGACTCTGCAAGAGTAATATATGATACACAGACCCACCATCATGCTCTATCCTTTTACACTGCTTTATTTTTTCTAACTTTTCAATTACAGTTTACACTCAATATTATTCTGTAT